TGCCAGCCCTCGCGACACATCATCAAGGCCCCTCGCCACTACCCCCGAACGACGAAAACCCGCTCCAAGTGCGCCCAGACCACCAAGCCTCTGCTTGCTGCCGTCGACAACATGGTCACCTACGCCTCGTCGCCCGAGTTTGCCTCGCAGGCGGCCGTCATTTCCGCGCATGCCAAGGCTGCCCAGCAGCCCCTTGTCAATGCTGGCAAGGGCCTTGTCAGCTCGTCGACCAACCTGATTGGCACCGCCAAGTCCCTTGCTGGCAACCCCAAGGACCCGCCTTCGTGGCAGGTGCTTGCCGCCAACAGCAAGTCGGTCACTGACTCGATCAAGAACATTGTCAACGCCATCCGTGACCACGCTCCTGGCCAGCACGAGTGCGACGAGGCCATCCAGGAGGCCTCCCGCCAGATCAACCACATTGACCAGGCCGCGCTTGCTGCCGCTGTCGGTGGCCTTGAGCGCCGCAACGACCAGTCTCTCGGCGCCTTCCAGCAGAACGTGCTGAGCGAGCTCAACGAAATCACCGAGCTCTTGCCCAAGCTTCAGCAGTCGGCCAAGGCCGAGCCCGAGAACTTGGCTCACGTTGTCACCGCCTTCGCCACCACATTCGCCCGCTCGTCGACGCGGCGATCGGCGCTGCCTCGCGCCAAGGCGATCCTGCCCGCCAGCAGGAGGTCCTCGATCAGACCAAGACTGTGGCCGAGTCTGCCCTCAACCTGCTCTACGCTGCCAAGGAGTCTGGCGGCAACATTAAGGCCTCCAACTCGCACCCCAAGGTCGACTCTGGCGTTGCCGAACTGCGCGATGTCATGAAGGATCTCAACCACACCTTCGAGGAGTCTGCCAACTCGGAGACTGCTGCGCAGAACATTGTCGCGGCCATCCACAAGGCTGTCGCCGATGTCGACCGCCTCGACCAGCCCGGCGCCCTCAAGGACTTTGTTGCCACCGGCTCGTTCAACGACTACTCGAACGCCCTCGTCGAAGAGTCCAAGACTCTTGCCAAGACGGCTGCCAAGTCGGTCGCCTTCTCCACCGCCAACCCCTCAGAGCTGCTGCGCGTTGCGCGTGACATTTCGGCGCACTACAACAACATTGGTGAGCAAGCCAAGGGTGTTGTTGCGACCGCCCCCAACGCCGAGACCCAGAAGATGCTCAAGGCTGCCGTCATGGAGCTCGGCCCGGCAACGGCTGCCCTCGCTCAGTCGTGCGCCGTCGTCCAGTCGTCCCCCGACAACGCTGACTCGCGCAAGGAGCTCAACGACAACGCTCGCCTCGTCTCTGAGAAGGTCGGCAAGGTGATGGCCGCTGTCAAGAGCAGCGCCAAGGGCACTGCCGCTTGCGAGACTGCCATCAACAACGTTCAAGGCATTGTTGGCGATCTCCAGACCATGGCCATGTTTGCTGCTTCTGGCTCGCTCAACCCCGACGACCCGAAGGACAACTTTAACGCGCACAAGGAGGATATTCTCAAGCGCGCCAAGGAGATTGTCGAAAACACCAAGGCTCTCGTCACTGGCGCTGCCTCGTCCCAGGAAGCCCTTGCCACTGCGGCCAAGAGCTCTGTCGACACGCTTTCCCACCTGTCGGATGCTTGCAAGCGCGGTGCGACCTCCATCTCTTCGCGCGACTCGAACGCACAAGAGCTGCTCCTCAACGCTGTCAAGGACGTTGCCGCCGCTCTTGCCGACCTCATTGGCTCGACCAAGACTGCCGCCGGCCGCTCTGTCAACGACCCCGCAATGGAGGGCCTCAAGGAGAATGCCAAGGGCATGGTGAACAACATTTCCCAGCTTGTCAAGGTTGTCAAGTCTGTCGAAGACGAGGCCTCGCGTGGTGTGCGCGCGCTCGAGTCTGCCATCGAAGCCATTGGCACTGAGCTCAAGGTCCTTGAGTCGCCCGAGGCACCCAAGCGCGACGCCAGCCCTGAGGAGCTTGTCGCTGCCACCAAGATGGTCACCACCTCGACCGCCAAGATTGTCTCTGCTGCCAACTCCAACCGCCAAGAGGAGGTTGTTGCTGCTGCCAACATGGCCCGCAAGGCGCTTACCGATCTCATGCAATACGGCAAGGGCGCCGCTGCCAAGGCCGACACCCCCGACAAGCAAGCCCGCGTCACGGTTGCCGTCCGCGATGCTGCCAACAACGCCAAGGCCATGCTCGAGGCCGTGTACAACGCCCTTGGCCACCCGACCGCTGACGCCAAGAACGACGTGACCAACCGATCCAAGAAGGTTGCCGCGGCCGTGGCTGATGTCGTTGACGCTGCCAAGCTGCTCAAGGGCGACGACTATGTCGATCCCGAGGACCCCAACGTTATTGCCGAGAACGAGCTTCTTGCTGCCGCTGCCGCCATCGAGGCTGCTGCTCGCAAGCTTGCCGACCTCAAGCCCCGCGAGACCCCGCGCGCCGCCAACGAGGACCTCAACTTTGAGGAGCAGATTCTCGAGGCTGCCAAGGCCATCGCCACCGCCACCTCTGCCCTTGTCAAGGCTGCTGGCGCTGCCCAAAAGGAGCTCGTGTCCACTGGCAAGATTGACTTCACCAAGGGAACAGCCAAGTACCACGAGAACGCCATGTGGTCGGAAGGTCTTGTTTCGGCTGCCAAGGGTGTCGCCGCTGCCACCGGCAGCTTGTGCGATGCTGCCAACACTGCCGTGCAAGGCGAAGCCTCCCAGGAGCGTCTCGTCTCGTCTGCCAAGCAAGTCGCCAGCAGCACTGCTCAATTGGTTGTTGCCTGCCGTGTCAAGGCCGATGCAAACTCCAAGACCCAGTCGCGTCTCAACCAGGCTGCCTCCATGGTCAAGTCTGCCACGGACGAGCTCGTCAAGTCGGCTTCCGAGGCCGCTGTCTTCAACCAGCCCGACGCCAACATTACTGTCGACCAACGGTTTGTCGGCTCCATTGCGCAGGTCATTGCTGCTCAAGAACTCATTCTCAAGCAAGAGCGCGAGCTCGAGAAGGCCCGCAAGCAACTCGCCGACATTCGCAAGGGACAGTACCAAAACAAGTAAAGGCGACGTTTTTCGTCGTCGTGTCTTTGTTGTTTTGTCTGTCGCCTTTTTTGATCTTTTTTTTTTCTGTCTCTGTCTCTGTCTCTCTTTCTCTCTCTGTCTCTGCCTCTCTGTCTGTTGTTCCACTCTGTTCTTTGAGTGTTTTGTTTGCTTGCCTCATCTCGACTATGCGACTTTCATTTTTGTTTTGGGAATAGTTGTTGCTTGTCGCATGTTGAACGATCCTTTTGTTTGTGCTTTTTTTTTTCTTTTTTCTTTGGCGCGACTCGGTTTTGTTGTCATTCTGCGTGTCGCATGTGCTGTTGTATGTGGACCGCCAACCACTTCGACTGCACGACACGCATTTTGATTGCGAATTGTAGTTGTCTGTCAATTGTTTGTAATTTCGCCTTCTTTTTCCCCTACTCCTGCCAATGTGTACTGCATGACTGATACCCAAAAAAAACACAATACACAAATCTTGGAACTGTACATCAACTTTGTTCAGATGTCAAATTGTCAAGTAGTCAGTCAAAGCAAAAGCGGATGAGGGTGAACAAAAAAAAAAAGGAACATCAACAGGGTAATGAACAAAACGCACACAACACAAGAGTCAAACACGCATACACGAAACGCATCACTTGGATTTGACTACACGCCTTCGTTGGCAGCCTCTGCATCACCTTGCACGTTCTGCATGGGAATGCGTTCGTAGCGTGCATTTCCACCCCGCGCGCCACCACGGCCACCAGAAGAGCTGCCGCCAAATCGCTTCAGCACTCGGAGCAGCGGTCGGCGGAAAATGAGCACAATGGCAGCGACCACGATAAAGCTCAAAATCACAACGTAACCCAGCATGGAGCCTTCGGCGGCAGCCGTTTCATCGTCGTCGATTTCGTTATCCAAGTCCTTGTCGTTGTCGTCGTCCTTGGAATCGTCTTCTTTGGAATCGTCGTCCTTGGGGTCGTCCTTGGGGTCGTCCTTCGGGTCGTCCTTCGGGTCGTCCTTGGGGTCGTCCTTGGGGTCGTTCTTGTCGCTCTCGGTGTCGTCTCGGGCTCATTGGCATTGGTATCGACCGCCCTGTCATGCTCTGTCGCTGCTGCACCGTTTACCGCATCAAAGCAAAAAGTGAAAAAAGTCGAAATGTCAACCGTGGAAAGAAAAAAAACAAAAAAAAATTTAATTTATTATAATAAAAAAAAGATTTATTTTTTTTTATCCTATTGGGCTGGGGGGGTCG